CCAGCGCCGCCATTGGGGATGCTGGGATGCAGTGTGGGATGTTCAACTACAGCTGACGCTCGTGCACCAAATTCGGCGCCCTCGTGGCTGCAAACTGATGCCTCTTCCACTTGCGAATCCGACGGCGTGCCTCCAGACACTCCCGCAGAACCCCCCACGCGGCCCAGGGACAGCCCAAGAGAGCCGCAAGGCAGCCCCAAGAGGGGCTCGGGACAGCCAGAAAGGCCCAAGACAGCCCGAGGTGTCCCAGGAGGGCCCCGAGAGGTGCCCCGGGGCAGCCCCGCGAGGAGACTCACTGGACAGCCGAGAGGAGCCCAGTGGGGCCCAAGACGGCGCCAAGACGGCACCAAAACAAGCCAAGGCAGCCCTGAGAAGACCCAAGAGGGCCCAAGAGTGCCCCCCAAAAGCCCAAGCCTCTCGGCCCCAACCAGGGGGCGAAGAAGGGTCTAAAAAACATACTTGGCACCGAAAGGGCATGAACTTTCCAGCCGCCCTGGGACGGGCGCCCCCGACAGCGAAAAAGTTTATGTTCTACCGTTCCTCGCCCGTAGACTTAGGTCAGGCCTGTCCCCCTACAGGCGGATTTTGGGCAGAATTCAAAGATATAGCAAAAAAAACAACAAAATTGTCAAACATGGTGAAAACAATCGTCCCCGTACTATTTGTGATTATTTTGGAAAATTCCCCGTGGACAGGACAGGCCCGACTTAACCACAGCCCCAGGACGGTCCAGGTGGCCACCGACGAGAGCCCTCGAGGAGCAGAGCCGAGCGGTGTCGCATATGCTGCGGCCTTCTTCCCGAGAGAGGTGCCGAGGAAACGCGTCGCCACACGGAGCGCTGCGCTGGAGAGGCGGCGGGGCTCGCAGAGCAGGCAGCTGAGTAGCATCGCGCGTAACTCGTAACGAGCGGTCCGGATCCATTGAGGTGCGTTGGGACGCACAAAGACATACTAGTACTATATGTTCTCCTTGGAGGCGCGCGTCCGACCCGAACATATAGTATACCCATCTTGTAGTGTGTCGTTTCCCGAGCGGCGTGGCCAGAAAGCGCCCGCCGCGACGCGTATACTATAATATTTCTCGGTGCGCGCGTCGCCCCTTGGGGGACGACGCACATAGAGTATAAGTATGTTGGGGTGACGCCGATGTGTATGTGAGAAAGGAAAAAACTAGTTCGAGCTCCCCATGAGAATCGATCCCCGCCAGGTGCGTGCTGGAGTGGGCGGGATCCACGTGCTGCTCCCCCACAGAAGCAATGCAGATTCGGCACGATCTCTGCGCGAAGGGTGTGCCGGACTGGATGGTACAGGCCACCGAAGAAATCAGCGAGCACTCATGCCGCATTCATCTGTCAATGCCCCCCAATGACCAATGTTGGCGGTGGGTTGAATGAGCTGCACTTCGACCGCAGTCTTCCCCCCGCGCGTGCCAACTTTGAGTTGGGAAGAGCGGGGGAGTGTCCACGAATTGCTTCATTCTACCGTAGCCCGCAGGTAAAACCCCCACTGGCCATTCGTGGTGCCCCGCATGGGGCACACAATGCGCGCGAGGTGTGTGTGTGTGTGTGTGTGCGACTAGAGGAAGGAACCGCACGCAAGCGCTCACACTGAAGGCCACGGATGGGGAAACCACGAGGTGCCGATACCGCTACGTACTCCCCCTCTCCCATGGGGGCGTTCTGACTAACACTTCGAGGCGAAGCCAGCGGTGGCAACGAGGGCCTCCCAGGAGGCCCAAACAGGGAAAACGATGGAAGGGCAGCGGCGTCGGTAATTACGCGATCCTCCGCCTCCTCCTCCTCCTCCTCCTCCTCCTCTTCCTCCTACTTCTCCTTCTCTGAATGGTCAGCGCTTCCTCTGGGGCACGATCCCTGGCAGGGTGTGCCGAAGCGCGTGCCAGTACCGCAGCAGGCAGCAGGCAGCGCAGCGGCAGCTGCGGGGAAGAAGGCCGGCGGGTGCAGGAATCGGGTAGGGGATCGACTACAGAGTTGACTTGCCCCAGCTCGAGGGCAGACCAATTCTGCAGGCGATCCCCTTACTCGACGGGAGAAGGAGAGAGAGAGAGAGAGAGAGAGAGACACGCGGCGCAGCGCGGGGAAAGGAAGGACCCAGCAAGCACAGGAGAACGGAGAAATACCCGACGTGGCCCCCAGGGGGGGGAGTCCCAGGGGGAGTCCTTTTCCCCCTCCTTCTCCTCCTCCTCCTCCTCCTCCTCCTCCTCCTGCTCCTCCTCCTCCTCCTCCTCCTCCTCCTCCTCCTCCTCCTCCTCCCCCTCCTCCATCTCCTCCTTCTCCTCCTTCTCCTCCTGGTCGTCGTCGATGTGTTACGTCTTTCAGGGTCGGCGGCACCGGCCGTCAGGCCTTCACAATACCCAACGTGGCCCCCAGACGTGGCCCGCGGACGCCGGCCCCGCAGATCCAGGCACGCGCGAGCAGGGATGGGATGTGTGAGACCGCCCGGGTCCCCTCACTCCGACGGAGGGGCCGACAGGGGGGAGAGA